TACATGCCAAATGTTTTTCCTTCGTGTTTTTGAAAAGTTTCGCGTACAGATGACAACATTGTAAAAAATGATCCCTGTTCACAAGGATTTCCTAAAAAGGCTGTATTATTCATGCCAGACCAGTAGTGCCTGCGCACATACATAAAGACTGAACATGTAATACGCATGATGTCACGGTTTTTCAGATTAGATGGTCACTGCAGTCACGCAGATCCTGTACGTGTCCAGCCCAGATGGTGGATCAGCACCTAGAGAGGACCTCTACAGCCCTGAATGTCAGCGGAGATCAGGACAACTAGATGAGCCACAAAGACAGATCCCCAGTGAAGACCTTGTCTCCTAGACGGCCACCGGGACAAGACCACAGGAACCAGATGAGTCCTCTGCACAATGTGACTTTGCTGCAGCCTGGAATTGAACTGCTGGTTTCGTCTGGTCAGAGGAGAACTGGCCCCCCGACTGAGCCTGGTTTCTCCCAAGGTTTTTTCTCCATTCTGTCACCGATGGAGTTTCGGTTCTTTGCCGCTGTCGCCTCTGGCTTGCTTAGTTGGGGACACTTCATTTCCAGTGATATCGTCGACTTTATTGCAAAGATACTATTTAAACTGAACTGAGCTGGACGATGACATCACTGAATTCAATGATGAACTGCCTTTAACTGAAAATCGAGTGTTTACTATTGTCATTTTGCATTATTGACACAATATTTTCCTAATTAATGCTGTACAGTTGCTTTGACACAATCTGTATTGTTAAAAGCGCTATATAAATAAAGGTGACTTGACTTGATTTGACTTTTTACAAATTCACATTTTTGAATACACGTTTGCGTTTTCAGGCCCTCAAAACACCACTGTGGTGTAAATGACTAAAAAGCATAATAACTTTTTTTTGTTTTTAGCTGAAAACAGTGTCATGTAAATGCCCCAAGATGATAAAAAGAAAAACATCTGTAGACATGCTTGTAACCATCAATTAAAAAAAATAACCAGTGTTGGGGGTAACGCATTACAAGTTAAGTTATGTAATCAGATTACAACTACAACTCCAGTTATGTAATCAGATTACTTTTTTTAACTAGTAAATTAACACATTACATTTTAATTTACAAGAAAATATCTTAGTTACTTTTTCAATGGGATTTTTTACTTTTTAGCTAGTAATGCAATATTGTAATGCACTCTAGTAACTTTCCTCAACATTGGAAATAATGTTAAAAAGTAATTAAATAGTAGCAATTTATTTTCTTTAATTATTACTTTTAAATGTACAAAGCATTTTTACAAATAGCATTAATCTTTGAATTGTTATTATAGAACAATTTAGTTGCGTTTACCTTTATGTTGAAAATTGCCATAAATAAAGGTTTGACTTGTAAATAGCATTCAATTTTATCATTGAAACGTATTAATTTAATTTTTTAATTTGAAACTTAATACATAATTACTGAATTTTCTGAGCGCTCCGATGGCTGCGGTTCCAGTCCTCGAATCAACAAGTGAGTTCTTTACGAGTCATCTTAATCGTTCCGATTTATTCACAAATGCTGATTCATTCAGGAATAAAACAAGAGACTGTCCGTGTACAGAATCGCTACTATATAGCAGACAAAAAAAAAACATTTGTGGAAATAGATTAAGAGTATTAATCTAAATTAAGAGTATTCATAAAACAGTAGACAAAAATTACCTGGATGATTTACTACAACGGCTGTGATTCTGAATAGCTCACTTTACTTTACTTTCAGTGAAGAGATGCAACTGAGGCTGGTAGGTCAAATGACAATGACAATATGGGGAATGAAGTATGTCTGAATTATATACTACACACATGGTACTTCATAGAACATGCTTTTTTAAGGGTACCTAGCGATTTCGGTACAGCCACTGTCTGTATGAATAAGTCATTGAATCATTTACTCAACCAATTTGTTAAAGGGGTCATAGGATGCCCATTTTCCACACATTGATATGATTCTTTAGGGTCTTAATGAAAAGTCTGTAACATAGTTTGGTTAAAATTTCTCAATGGTAGTGTAAAAAACACATTTTTTACCCTGTCAAAAACAGCTCTTTTCAGATCAAGCCGTTTTTGTAGCATTTTCCTTTAAATGTTAATGAGCTCTGCTGACCCCGCCCCTCTCTTCCAAGCTGCTCTCAGAGAGACTGTTTACTTTAGCCGCATTCATCGTGAAACTTGCTAATTAGCACATTATTAGGAAAGGCGATTTGCAAAGATTCATTACAAAACATTATACTCACTTCTTCTGTAGATGAGGCTGGATCATGAATGATTCACGCGAACATAGATGCATTTATGTAGATCGGGGGCGCATTCCCTTCAGAAACAAATGTAATCCAGTACGTCTTCAGCGGCTCAGATGTCGAGAGTAAATGACGACTGCTATGTTCATTATTACATCCAACAACAGAACACCTCAATCGCTTAGGAGTCATTCTTGTCTACATCTGCTCCGGCGGTGAAACAATGGCGGACTGATGACAGCTCACTCAGGATGGGGCTAAGGTAAGACGCCAGTCCAGTCTGTGCTGAAACGCTGCTGTCAATCAAACTATCGTGGGAGGGGCCTGTCTGTGTGAGGTCACACAGACAGGCATCTGAGATCGGCTTGATTTGAGAAAGGGGAAAACATTTAACCAGATTAAAAAAAAAAAACACTGGGTGGATTTTTATCATTATAGGGTGGTTGTGTTCATACACTGCCAACACATATTTCAGTTCAAACAGCTTGTAAAAGTGCATGTAGCATCCTATGACCCCTTTAACAAAAACACAATTATGCTGTGACTTTGTTTGGAATTATTTTTGTTGACAAAATGTTTCTATTGTAAAAAAAAAAAAAAAAAAAAAAAAATGTGACTTAATATTAACTTGTTGTTTATTTACCCAATGTATAAAAGCAATATTACACAAACAAATTACATGGAAAATTGAATACATTCGTCATTTGACCATGTGTGCCATGTCATCCATACAAATTGAAAAGTAGCTCCAGCTTTTGTGAAGCTAAAAGTTTGTTGTCCCAACGAAGGAGAAAGATGCACCATGTCATTGACCCATTACTATCTATTTATATGTTCTTTTCATGTTTGTTTATATGTCGTATACATTGTTACCCCATATTTTAAAAAGGTACTTTTTTTAAAAGATAGTTAAAATGGTATGTACAGTTTTTTTTTATTATTATTCAGAGTCTCAAAGAAACTTTTGACCATGACTGTTAAAACCCACAAATAGAAAGTACCACAATAAAACAAACATACAACTTATTTTGATGCTCAACTCAAAATTACGCTCACAGTACGGAAAAGTAAGTGTTCATGTAAATCAAGATGAACCGATGAGCTATGAATGGGGCATTTTTAGGTTATGCTTCTAAAATATTCATGAGTTGAAACTTTATCTTGAGAAGGATAGGGACGTGACTTTATCATAAATGGTATCATAAACAAGATTAGGGAATATCATGACACAGTTGGCACAACAAGACTGTTTACAATTTTGCCAAGACTTAAAAAAAAAGTACACACTGTTAATCTGTGTAATGAATGAGAAAATGCCAGAGAGGTAATGGATGCCCGCCACATAGCGGATTAATAATTGAGCGTCTGGGGGAACAGGAGAGGTGGATGGGATCGGATGGTGCATCTGTGTCACTGCATTGCCTGGCTTCTCTTTCTGCATCCACAAGCATGGTCACCACGTCAACCAGCCATAGAGGGAGAACAGGTGTTTACTTCCCGTTACCAACAGCAATGCCATTCATTTATTGACCAAAGCACTTTGAGTTGGAGAAGTCTTGCTAGGCAGGTTCAGTGGTGTTCATATAAAATGTTCCGTCACTCTAAAATTTATGTATATTATGTATCTGATATTATACAATGACTTTGTTTTGCTAGTTCAACTCTTGTGTATGATTCCTTTTAATATAGTTTTACAAATCATTCATTTGACTTTGGTACCAAAGGACAACAACTTGGTGAATCTATACATTTAATAGAGCTGTCAAAGTGTTTTTGAGGGCTTACTTTTAATGCTCAAGCTGTTAGCAGGTTAGGTGAGAGCAACTCTGTCAGTGAAGATCGGGGGTCAGCCAAGGTGAAAGTTCGTGCCATTCAGTTGTGAGCCTCAACTTTCCTCCCAAGTTAATATGGGTGATCAGTATTTGCCAAGGTGATTTCCTGTAAAAATAGATTTTTTAAGGACAAAAAAAAAAAAAAAAATCTGCCATATATTTTGTTTACTTTTATTAATACCCTAAACATTTTACGCAGCACGGGCCACGGCATATTTTTATTGATCTACAATAATTAGATAATAAGGTATAAATGGACTTAGTGATATTGAAAATATACAAAACCGTTCTTTGATTACACATTTGATGTATTCCTTGCGCTAACTGTGAGATAATTTAGTTCTGGATATACTGACTAGCCTATCCGAAATTAAAATGACAATATTATTTAATTTCAAATAATCAAAAACAATATATTATTATTAATTGCTAGGTGTCATATATTATTTAAAGGTAACACTTTAGGTTTGGGAACACATATTGACTATTAACTAAAGGTTTCCCCTCAATAAACTCCTACTTACTGCTCACTGATAGTAAGTAAGGTAGTTGTAGTTACGTTTAATTGAGGAGGATAAAGATATCTGGAATATGATCATGCAGAATAAGGCATTAATATCTGCTTTTTAAGTACTAATAAATAGCCAAAAATGCTATATGCACTTCACTGCGTTGTGTTTTAGGGTTAACGGAAATGTCCGTAAAATTACCGGCAAAAATTACTAGTATCTACTTTTTTTTCTTTTTCTTTTTTAACAGTGTAGTTAATAGTGAATAGTATTATCCATTTAAAACAATCACTTCGCTGATGAAGTGTAAAGTATTGAAATACTGTCAAATGTTTTTGTCCTGTGGTGCAGTAGGCTTGCGCGACAGACCACTTGTAAGTTGAATAGAGGAGCAGGTGGTGGCGGGAGGGCGGTGTGTGGAGCTCCGAGGGCATGCGGCGGGTGTGCCTGCCTGCTCCGCAGGTACGTCTCACGCTAAATTCCTCGTATTGTCTTCGTTCTGTCACTTTGAGGTGTTTTGAGTTGCTCCGGCATCCATCCATCCCTCCCTCCCCGGCCTCTGCTTTCTTTCCTCTGAGCTCACGCGCGCGCTCTCTCTCTCCCTCACATGCCTATCCAAGTAAAGCTGCTGCTTTCATATGAATTTTTATGACCTGTGCTTTGAGGAGGGTGCTTGGGAATGTTCTTTAATCCGGAGTTGACACAATTCCCCACTGACTTCCATATGCGCGCTCTTGCTTGCAGCTCCAGGGCAATATATTCAGCGGCTTCGATGAGAGTCTGCTGGCCCGCGCTGAAGCTCTGGCGGCTGACATCGCGTCTCACGGCAAGAGTCACCCTTTCAAGACGGACGTCACCTACCATACCATGAGCAGCGTGCCCTGCACCTCCTCTTCATCCGCAGTGCCCATATCCCACCCTTCATCCAACCTACCCTCGCACCACCACCATCACCACCACCACCACCTCAGCCACCAGACCCTGGAGGGGGATATGCTCGACCACATTTCCTCCAGTTTATCGGTCAGCGGCATGGGTGCGCCGCCGGATCCGTCGGTGATGACCACTCAAGCCCACCAGCACCACCTGCAAATGGGTCACTTGCACCAAGCCATGGCCATGGGCCACCCGCACACCCTGTCGGTCCACAACGGGATGGCGTGCGTCAACGACGTGGAGTCCGATCCCAGAGAGCTGGAGGCGTTCGCGGAGAGGTTTAAGCAGCGGAGGATAAAGCTCGGAGTGACCCAGGCGGATGTGGGCTCTGCCCTGGCCAACCTGAAGATCCCGGGGGTCGGCTCGCTGAGCCAAAGCACCATCTGCAGGTTCGAGTCCCTAACCCTGTCCCACAACAACATGATCGCTCTCAAACCCGTCCTCCAAGCCTGGCTAGAGGAGGCTGAAGCGGCTTACCGGGAGAAGAACGGAAAACCGGAGCTTTTTAACGGGAACGAGAGGAAACGAAAGCGCACGTCCATCGCGGCTCCCGAGAAGCGATCGCTTGAGGCGTATTTCGCCATCCAGCCGCGACCATCGTCGGAGAAAATCGCGGCAATCGCAGAGAAGTTGGATCTAAAGAAGAACGTGGTTCGGGTTTGGTTCTGTAATCAGCGGCAAAAACAGAAAAGGATGAAATATTCGGCAGTGCACTAGTGCTGGTAGAGCAAAGTAGACATTTTAGGAACACCACAGGGATCTAAATCTTTTCTTTTAAACGTTAGAAGCCTATAAAGACTCCAAGTACGTTTCATATCGCCTCCAGATGATGGGACCAGTGTGCGAATTATTCCAGGGGTTCTGTAGCCTGCCCCTAATAAAGGCTTGACCTCTCTCATAAAGAAGTCAAACGGTTTTAACAATATTGCACATTTTAGCAGCGTTTCAGTAACTATAAAAGTTACATTAAAAGTTCATTAAGTCGCGGCGTGTGTGCCTGAGGTAACCATGAGTTGCTCGATCACTTTCAGTGAGCATTAATATCGGAATTCACATAAAACAATAACGCAAAAAGTGGCGCAAAAATAATTTTGGTTTGCGCGAGATCGACAAATCTCAAACGATTATGTCCTGACAATTGCTGACACATTTTTCTCAAACCACCGAAGGCCGAATAATTCGCACACTGTAATACCATTTTAAACAAACTTGAAACAAACTGTTTCATTTACATTTCAGTGTTCATGTTACTTTGTATTTGTACGAGCAAGTAACACTCGTGTAGCACTTAACGTGTAATTATTTTAGCTGATTGTGGTTACACAATGTTATGGTTATAAAATAATGACAACAACATGCACGGTGTAACATGGACATCGTAATGTAAATTATTTACTCTTTAACAAAACAGATATTAATTTAGCACTACGAGGCAATACTGCTAAAAACCTTTAAAAAGCTTTCATTTGAAATGATACAACTTTAAATACATTTCCAGGAGATTAACAGCTACTAAAACTTTGTTTCAGTATTATCACACGTGAAAATATATTTTGAAGTGTAGTACGTGTGTTTTTGCTATTTAAAAATGTATATTATACAATTTGTGCACAAGGTCTACCTTATGTTACTATCACATGAAATGTCATTTGAAATATGTGTACTAGCGTTTGTAATCGTTTGAATGTCTTGTCAGATGTGAATGCAATCATGGTGGAAATCACATATTCTCACAAACTGTCACGATTTTTTTCGTGAACGATCATCAGTTGGAGTGATACTAATATGCAAAAACTGGTGATGTAATGAAGAATGCTGCTATTTGATTTGCATTAGCCACTGCAAACACTTTAAACTTCACTTTACAAAATGTGTGACTCTGAATGTTATTTAATAAATTGTTGATTTTTTTTTTCAAAGCCTTTCTGGGAGTTTTATTTATGCGTGTTAAAAAAGGACACCGATGTGTCTGATTCCCATTTCAATATATAGGAGTTAAAAAAATATCAGAAATAAAATATGTATACATATATATACATATACATGCACTTGGTTGCACAGTTTCCATCTTACATAAATTAGATCAAGAAAGCTACTCGCACAAAAATCATTGTAATATCATTAATTTTTTTAAATGGTGTTTTATTAAGTAGCTTCTTGAGCTCAATTGTGATTAAACATTAATGAAATAATACAGTCTAATCACCACCTAATTTAAAGAAAATTTATAGAGAGAACAAAACGAAAAATTCAAGCTAACTTTAAGCGTGTTTTCCTCTTTTCTAATTCGGGTTGCCAACTTGTTTAAGCAGACACCGCTGAATAATACATGTCTGTCACGGCTCTGTGCAGAGGGATTTGAAATTATTAAGTAATGACGATGCAATATTAATTGTATATTGGTATAAAACAGGCAGAGAGCTGAAGGGAGAGTTGTTAGTCAGGAAACGCTTCGTACAGGCTCAAGGGAAGGAGGAAGAGACGCTGTTCAGGTAACGATGATCATCCGAGTCGTTTTGTGCCTCACTTGACTGTCAGGTTTCAAGAAGTAATTGTGAAGTTCTGTCAAAGATGATGTTGTTATATATTTACGTGTTATTCTATACAAAAATAAAGGTATATGATATTTTGAAAAAGTTAGATTAAAAGGTAAAAATGTTAAAAGTGAGAACATGTTCAAATGCGCTTTACTCCAGAGTTTTATTTTAAGAGCCGAAAAGTTCGCATGGAACTATTCTTTTTTTTTTTCTTTTACAAGGCTGATGTCCTTAAATGTTTTTGCTTGCTATCTTTAAATGCTTAAATGTTTTAATTATGTTCCTCTGTACGTTCCTCTACGAATATTACATTAATAAAAAAAAAAATGGAGCCTCACTCTTAAAAATAAAGGTGCTTCAAAAGGTTCTTCAAGCGATGCCATAGAAGAACCATTTTTGGTTCCACAAAGAACCATTCAGTCAAAGGTTCTTTAAAGAACCATCTCTTTCTTACCTTTTTATAATCTGAAGAACCTTCTTTCACCACAAAGAACCTTTTGTGAAACAGAAAGGTTCTTCAGATGTTAAAGGTTCTTTATGGAACCAATTTGACCAAAAAGGTTCTTCTATGGCATCGTGAAGCACCTTTATTTTTAAGAGTGTATATATAACTTAATCAGTTAATATCGGTTCTGTTTCGTTCTATTCTTTGTGTGTGTGTGTGTGTGTGTGTGTGTGTGTGTGTGCAATAACTGGGTATTTTAATAATTTTAATCATTATTAGCATAACGATGTTGTTGCCCAAATTAGTATTAGAATGTATGAAATATTACGTTTTTAGGCATAATAATAAGTTCTAACCCTATATTCATTATTCACATTTCCTTAAGTTTTTTTTTTTTAGCGTTTTCTTTAACGCACGAAAGAAATGCCAGCTTAAGCGATTAAAATACTGAGTAACGACTAATTATAGTCCTTAATTGTACGGACTTTTTTTTCCCAGCCTGAATTAAAATCTTTCCTAATTGCCGAAAAGTATCATCAGTCCAAATTTAAGTGGTTAAATTAATGGGATTATGAAGAAGGGTTAAATTCATTAGAGAATGCAGATCATTAATAATTAAAAACAACTTTTTTTTTATATCATAACCCCCAAACAATGGTGTAAACCAATCTAAGTTGAGCACAGAGCAGGGGCATGTGGCCAGTGGTGGCAACTAAATTATTGATGAGCTATATTGAAAGGTAGAGGCCTATGGCAGGAAATGTGCTGCCTCAAGTTAGGCTTAAGTTTTCATCACCCTTTCTCCATTCAAAAATTCTAATATGGAATAATTTGGAATCAATGAAATAGTCATCTCATAATAATCATCTGAAAACATATCTTCATTATTTTTTTGATTAGTAGGCTGTTGGATAGCCTAGTTCAGTCCTGTAGTCAATTGAAACTGAAATTATACAATACTGAAAGATTTTGATTAATTTCCTTATTTTATGTCCTACAAAGGCCTTTTTATTTTGGGCCATGTTAACTAACCATAGCCTAATTGAGAAGGAATCGTGTATTTTCTGATGATGGAAATGATCGGATTTAGCTACAATAGCCTAAATATATTAAAAAAATAAAATAAACAAAAACGATTTTACAAAATGCTTTTGAAATTTCACAAAGAACTTCTAATGAGAAAATCGACACTTTAAAAACAAAACAAAACAAACAAACAAAAACCATTAGACTTAAAGAACAGAGAATGGATTAATCATATTTTAATAAGTTAAAAGCACCTTTTAACCAACTCCTAATACAGTTAAAATGGCTATTAAAAGACTACCTTTATTTTTAGGCTATAATAGGCTACTTGAGAACTTGCGGTTGCCGGAGTCATGCGTGTCTGAGAGAGAAAAGTAAATTCATGTTTGTATTTCAGAGCAAAGAAGATCTGACAGAATGAGGGTGGAGGCCATGCAGCCATCGACTGTCTCTTGGAAGATGTGGCGCACCACCCTCTCCCTCTGCGGGACGAGCGCTTGTTCTTGCGCCGACACGAGAACGGCAGAGTTAAGACACCGGCGCTTCAATTATTCATACAGCGCCGGCAGCAACACATGAGAGTGGAGCCAATGCCGAGGCAGACAGCGAGCCCGGTGTGCTTTATTAGTCCGTTCCTATCATCATCACACCCCAAGCTACCTTAGGCATTTGCCCGCGGTGTCTCAAAGCGAGAACTCACGGGGCTATCCGAGGGGATACTGTTACCGGGAAACTTGAGGCTGTCCTTCAAAGGTGAATTTTGGGCGTGTCTTAAACGGACTCCGTTGTGTTAGTATGTCTTTGTAGCCTACTCGAATGTCTAACACCGTCTTATGACAATGCGGAACTATTTTACATTTTGGGGTATTGGTGGCTAATTTTTCGTAGCTATAGCCTACGTTTTACGGTCTGCTTTTGCCACACTGCCAGTTAGACTACACTCTAAAAAATGCTGGGTTGTTTCAACCCAACTTTGGGTCAAATATAGACTAACCTAGCTGTTGGGATACATTTTTAAATGCAATTTTTAACCCAAAAGTTGGGTTAGTCCATATTTGACCCAAAGTTGGGTTGAAACAACCCAGCATTTTTTAGAGTGTAGTGATGGACCTGTAAGTAGCCTAATATTGTAATGTATTTGTAAATAAATAAATAAATAAACAAGTTGCTGCAGTTTACATATGGTAGTAAATACCAGCACAATAAATGATGGAAAGATGACATTAAACACTAAGACTGATTATGATTTAGCCAACTTTTTACCTGTTTTTACACACACACACACACACACACGCACGAGTTCATCTGCAAAAACAGATAACTCCGTTTTTTAAAAAAAATCAAAAATCATGTTTTTTCATTCCGCATTCCAATTAATCTCAGTTGGGTTATTTTGATTAGGTTAAAAATAACTAAAAAAATACAGCTAACTAACACAATAAAAGCACGATAACATAATAAAAAACATGATTTGAAAATGTAAAAAAATATTGCAAACACTCTTCGTGCGTGTGTGTGTGTGTGTGTGTGTGTGTGACAACCAGTCATAAGGGTCAATTTTTTATTTTTTTTAATTGAGATTTATACATCATCTGAAAGCTGGAAAATCTGAAATCTGAGGGTGCAAAAAAATTCTAAATATTGAGAAAATCGCCTTTAAAGGTGTCCAACTGAAGTTGCATTTGATATTACTAATCAAAAATTAAGTTTTGATATATTTATGGTAGGAAATTTACAAAATATCTTCACGGAACATGATCTTTAATTAATGTCCTAATGATTTTTGGAATTAAAAATGATAATTTTGACCCATACAATATATTATTGGCTATTGCTACAAATATACCCGTGCTACTTATAGCTAGTGGAACTTATAATTATTTAAAAAAATATTTTTAATTAATGTCCTAATGATTTTTGGAATTAAAAATGATAATTTTGACCCATACAATATATTATTGGCTATTGCTACAAATATACCCGTGCTACTTATAGCTAGTGGAACTTATAATTATTTAAAAAAATATTGACAAAAATTAAATACCATCATCCCTATCAGATGTTAATGCTGAAAATATCACGGGCAAAGTCAAGGGAAGATTTCAAAACTCTAGTACACATTTTAATGAAGACAAGAAATACAGAAACACCTGGCTGAAATAATCTACAAAATGCTCTGAAGGACAAGAAGTGACAAAGAGAAACTCTTTTTAGTACAGTTGTAATCTTTATTGCTACATGCAATCCTGAATCACTTAAAATCATACTTTACTGGTGAGGAGTCAGGGGAAGTGCGTTAAAATACCCATGCAAAGACACTCGTTTTTAACCAGAGAAGAGTAAGTCGAGGCTACGTGACACCAGAAAACTGTAATAGAGTTGACCCTGTGGCTGATAGGCATGGGTATCTGATCATTCGTGCCCCTTTAAAAGCATGCCGGATTGTGGGATGTGTGCACACTTGGCTCTTGAATTGCCTTTGAATAATACATGCACCAATGCAGTGTGGTTCTATCACTCCACATCTTCTCATGAGCTCCCACTATGGGGCCCATGTTGCAGCTAAAAGCAGAAGAGAAAGCAGGAGGCGTATATTAAATAGAAGCAGAAAGACAATTTGCACTAGATTTAATATTTTCCGAAGAAAATGTGAGGTGCTTTTCAGTGTAGAAGTTGGTGCCATAATGTTGTTGACATGGTTGCCAAATGTTTGAGGCCACTAATATACATACATATATACACACGTACATACATATATATAATGATAATAATAATAATATGATATATATATATATATATACACATATACACACACAC